AACCAAAAGCGGTAAAATGCGTAGAGCATCTTATGAAAAATTGCAAAGTGGGCAGGAAGTGCATGGAAATCGGTAGAAACATCGTCAATAATAGCAGGGTTCAAAGAAGCTGAAATTATATCCTTAGATAAAGAGACTGTAAACCAAGAGGATAAATGTGACGATCTGGAAGACTTGGACTTAGATCAGGATTTACTAAATCTTTTTAATTCAGATAGTGAAGAATCAGATTTTGATGGCTTCAAATTGATGTATAGTTTGCTGCTGTAATTCCTTTGTATTTAAAATTTTGTAAAATTTAAAATTTTCCTTTTGTCATCCAAATTTAATATTTCGTTGTTGCAACATTTTTTATAATATAGTCTGAGTATTACAAATATGGACTTCTTTAGTGGGACAAATATGGACTTCTCAGTAAATATACGTGAAGGTGAACGTAAATATATTTTCCACATTTCTTACCTTTAATTTATTTTTGAGTTATGGTTTCATTTCATGCATTTTTCTTAACTGGTATGTCATATGTCAGGACTTAGGTTGAGTTTTTGCATCTATACGGCCCACGACGATGTCACTCGCAATTTAATCTATTGTGGTGTTTCTGTGTAATTTTAATTTTTTTCCCGCCATTTTTCTCGAGTGCGGCGTTTACGCTGATGCGGCCTTTCTTCCGGAAATTACGGTAATACAATTCATGTCAAAATTCTGCCCATCTTAAAAATCCACAGCAGAATAAAATAAACCAGCAGCACTCATGAATAGATAACATACAATACATTTACTGGAGATAACTGACACAGACTTACATCAGATAGAAATATAACTCTAAAAAATATTATATGTATAATAACACAAGACTATTTTTCAAAGATGACTCTACAGATTAGATTGCAATGCCATAAATGGGAAAACATGAAACCTTCATATATCCACATAGAGTGAATTAGATCTAGAACTAAATTATAATTCAATTATTTTTAAGTGCATAACCACTGAGAAATAAAAAAAGAAATAAGAAGAATGAAATTTTATTGATAAATTCAGACAGAGTTATTGCAATAAGAACACCACCATAGAAGTAACTAGAAATGTAACAGCATCAGCTTTTTAAAAGTAGTACTTAACTTACTGTGAGTAAAAAAAGTATTTGCACACCCACATTTTTGTTTGCAATTCATAAAAAGAAGCATTAAGAAATAAAAAAATTGGTATCGCCAAATCAGAATAAGTTTAATAATCCAAAACATATAAATAACGATGCTTTTTTGTAACAAAATTAAAATATCTCGTATCAAAAAAGTATTTGCACACCTGCATGAATACAAAAGAAATAAAATATATAAGCAAATTTCAAATAACTAATATTTAGTATGCATTCCTTTAGCATCTATTACTGCTTGTAATCTTGCTGGCATTGATTTAATTAAATTTTCTGTAATAGTAGGGTCAGTATTCGACCACTCTTCAATAAGGGCTTGTTTAAGGGCAGATTTGCTTAAAATCTTCTTTTTTATTTTTAAATCCAAAGAAGTCCACAAATTTTCCAAAGGATTTAAGTCTGGTGATTGTGGTGGAGTGGCAAGTTTTCTGGGTACATTATAAAGCAACCACGTACATGTTATACCGGCAGTGTGCTTGGGATCATTGTCTTGCTGAAAAAAGTACGAATTACTGATACCCAATTTTATTGCACTTTGTAGCAAGTTATCTCGCAGCACATCAAAGGTTTGAGCTGTCATATTCCCATCAATGAAACACAAATTACCAACTCCTTTGCTTGCCATGCACCCCCAAATCGTAATAGAACCTCCTCCATGTTTAACTGTAGGTAACACATTTTTGGTATGAAAAGCAGTACAAGGTTTTCTCCAAGCAGTACAAGGCCATTTTAACGTAGAGAAACAATTTTTTTCTCACAACGAAATCGGCAGTTCAGATTTCTTAGGTGCCATTACAATTTGAAATCGACAAGTTTCTACAACACCTCCTTTTATAGTCGTCTTACATATGTTATTTACTGTGGGATGACTGTCAAATAATAATTGCATAAAAATGCAAATTTGCTAAAGTTGAGTGTGCAAATACTTTTTTGGCATAAGCTATTTTAATATTGTTGCAAAAAATGTTTTTATTAATATTATTGTATTTTTTGTAATTAATTTAAATGAATAAGCTTATTCTATTTTTAAATGCCAATTTTTGTATTTCTTAATGCATTTTCTTATAAATTGTTAACAAAAATGTATGTGTGCAAATACTTTTTGTAGCCACTGTACATGATGGAAAATTTTACCTAAATACAAAACTTGATAAACAACTTGTAAGTTTCTTTCTCAAAACTGTTAAGTATTATTTTTAAATATAAATTAAATTTCTAAATGTTTCATAATCTGAGTTTTCATTCATCTTATGTTTAAAAAGAATAAAATGTCATCTAGTTAAGATTATTAGCTCACTTTATTAAATATTAATTAATATTATTAACACCTGAACTGCGGTGTAATCCGCTGGTTGACCCTGACAGGTTTGTTTTGGGGGCCTGTTGATCTATCGGTGGGTCACAGCAATGTTCATGTTTGTGGCTGCATGTACCACTGGTGAGTCACCTTTTCTGCAGTTTTATATAGGATTCTAAAGTTTTTCAGCCACCAAATCACTCTGCTTGTTGGCAGTCAATGTGTTAACTATAACTAAGTAACTCTTAACTAAGTAATATTAATATTCAAATTCTGCTTTGAACTCCAATATTTGAAATAGTGCAAAAACATTAGTATCATACAAAAATAACAATATATGTTTTTAATATTGTCTTAGTAAAGTATAGTTTTTGAAACACTAAAATAAAATGTTTCACATTAAATGCTCCATCCAGAAGATGTGCTACAAACATACATATTGCAAGGGACAATAAGCATTAAAAATAATATGTAAATGGTGTTAAATAGGAAATAATAACATCATACATTTATAAGTGAAAGAAACAACAGGGGTGACCATATGTTTTCAAAAACAAGTGTCTTGATAATGTTTCAGATTTGCTATGTATGCAAGGAAACCATTCTATGAAGACCAAGAATACACATATAAGTGATTTCAAATTGATTTTAAAGAAAGGATACATGCTATTTGTTTAGCTACTACATATGCAAACTCTTAGTTACATTCACAAAGATTAAAACAATTCAGTTTGAATTAATCTGTATACAATGTAACATTTCTATGTAACACTTTAAATATTTATACAATGCTTCCTGTATTTATGTGATATTCATAAACTTCACCCAACATAGTTTCAATAAGCTTTAATTTATTTGATACTATTTATTATATTATTACCGAATTTAATGCCCACACTCTGAATATGCTATCAACAGGTTTATTAACAGAGATTTTGTATACAGTACAAAGTCTTTAAATCCGGACGTCCATAATTCGGAATGATCTATAATCCGGAGCTCAAAGCTACAAGCTTTCTGCACATATGTGTTTATGCATGCGCATAATACCTTTACGCATGTGCATATGCATTTACACATGCGTGTTTAATGTATAACGGACGAAGCTAGGCTAAAATTATCTAATTATCTATTTCAGTTAATGTTGCAGATCGTGTTGTTCCTTAATCTTCTAATTGGATGCGGCTTATTATTTTTTACAGACTGTCAGAGCAATTTTATAAAAAATAAGCTTGAACTTTCGATTATGTCAAAAAGAGTTTCCGATTCTGGAGCTGCCAAAGGATCTACAAAGTGGAAGCATGTTTCGATGTCCATCAAACAAAAAGTGGAATTGCTGCAAAAAATGGATGAAGGCATGAAGAAAGTGACAGAGATGTTAGTGAAAACAAAAAAATTTCGATTGACAAGTTAGTTGGTATTCTCGGCATAGCAATTACAGGACTTGAACAGCCGATCTTTGTAACTGAACAAGAAATTATGTCTGTTTATAGAAATAAAGAGAAAGTAAACATAAAAAGTGCACATAAAACGAAGCAACTTCAACAACTTAAATTGAAAGAAATGTTTAATAAAGTAAACAAATAAATATTAAGCTTTTTTTTTTTTTTTTTTTTTTTTTTTGTAAATTTTGATACCCTTTAGATCATATTTGCTCTTTACTTCATAAATTATGGTTTCATATTTTTAATTTTATAATTTCTGTATGCCATCTTGCCAGATTTAAATTGATGATCTATAATCCGAAAAAAAACCCTAATCCAGAATCACCGAAGTCCTGACGAGTCCGGATTAAAGACTTTGTACTGTATATGATTAGTGACATTATAGTTAGCCCAAAGGCTGTGGTTTCATTTAAGACAACTAGTATTTCTTATCAGGGATGCATAAGTTATGAAGTTGTCACTCTTTATTTGAATCAAGAGCACACTGATAGCTGAAAGATAAGTTATCAATGTTCTGCATCACTTTTCCTAACCATTCTTAAATGCTCTGCAGCACCCCTCTTTTAATGCACTAGTACTTCCACACAGTGTTTGCGATATGTTCGAGCACTGCCATAGATAGCAAGATTTATCTCCGACTGAAAACCTGTGGGGCTATGCTGTACACCTCTGCAATTAAATTGGTCAATACACCATCTTCATGAACTACAAAAGCAGGTCTATACTGTCCTGTGTTAAGTTCCTTAGGACTATATCCATGAACTGTATGACTCACTGCCCTCCTGTACTGTCATGAACTTAAGAGCAACAACTTATTGCTCCTTCACACCATGCTACATTATCTCATTTTTTAAACCGAAGTTGTTGAAAATAAAATCAAAATAAACATTAGCATATTCCTATTTATATGGGCCATTTCTCTCTTATATCTTCAATCCTTCAGGGTGAAGCAATTTCACTCTTGAATAGTATACAAGTTAAAAAATAACATATGTAGTAAACAATTACACATGCAAATGAACTAATTCTTTTGAACTATGCTGTAAAAAATACCAAAATTAAAAATGTTATATGTCATATAAAATATAAATACTCATACCTGGTAAAATCAATTTTTCTTGTATTGGGTGTCCTTGGAGGAGCTGCAAAATTGAACCAAACAGTTTTCAATTCAATGATAAAAGAAGAAGCATCTCCCTTTAAATTTTGCTGATTTACTATGGATTTGCTTCCATCAGAACTGCTAAAGCTTCCACACTCAGATACACATGATGGAAAAGACATTTTAGTATCCCAGTGTGTGTGTTCATCAACATTGGAAGATCTATGACTATGTCTGGAAGGAGATGGTAAGTCAGTTGTAACACATGGCTTTTTTGCAGATACCCTAACTTCATTTCCTGATTTAAGGTTATAATTATTGCCATCTAATTCCATACATTTTGGAGAATCATACCCCCATCGTTTCACAAATTTGATACCTATATCCTCAAGGCCACACTCAAACATTATAAATCCCATCTTTTCTTCATCCAAATATTGATTCCACTCTGAATCTAAAATAGAATCTTGTTTTTCACTTTGCTTAGACAGCTGTCTTCCTAAAAAGCAGTAATTTTCAAAAGTAAATTCAACTTTACTTCTATGATAAGGTATCACAGTAAGCATTGCTTCTTTCAAAATGCTACTATTATTCTTTAACCTGCGCAACTGGCAATGAACACAAGTAACTGAAGCAGACAAAATGGTTTCTTCCTGCTGAGTCTCACTGGTCTCTACAGTCAATAATTCGGTGGGAAGCGAATCAGTTTTCACTTTCTTTGCTGAACGCTCACTTATCTTAGAACGAGCAATGCTACCATTACAATAATCAGTAAATGTCTGAATAACTTTTTTAGCTTGACAACTGTGGGATAGCTGAATTAATGTATTATCAACACAAACAGAAAGAAGAGAAACACAAGTTAAATCCTTTAAGTTATCCAAGGCAGAAAAAGCAATTACTTCCTCTACTATTGATGCCTGCATAATACTGATATTTACCTAAAATAAAAGAAAGGTAACTGAATAAAAACACCTAAATTTATTAAAAGATTATCATCCTTATCAAATACTTTTATGTGCCAAATAATATAAATCAAATACTTTACATTTTTGTGTTTATTAAATTAAAATTTATTTCACAGAACATGCAGAAGTTATAACTTCTGACATGGCAAAACAATTTCATACAATTCTTTCTTATATATACATCTGGTATGAGTATGAAAAGCTAGATACTTACTTATATTTCCACTGATAATTTTGACAAACAAAAACTGTTGCCAAACAATGTTGTTTGGTGCAATAATTGTTAATGTTACATCATAATACTCAGAGACTCTTTGGTTTTATGTAAACCTGATTTAATTCTGAATAAACTAGCAGGGATGTATTCATCCTGCTCCATTTTGATCTACAATTGCTTCAGATTCTCAGAGAGGCTACAAAACTAACGAATTACAGGTTGCAGGTATGAACATTTTAAAGTTAATCGCCAATACATAATTTTACAGATCCTGAAACTGGTGTGCACACCCAAAACACAGAAAGACTGGGGTTTGGCAAAATGGCACAATAAAAAAAAAAAAAAAAAAAAAAAAAAAAAAAAAAAAAAAAAAGAGAGAGAGAGAGATACCTATTTTGTTGCTATCTTAAATATCATTTGGCATATTTATTCGGCATTGATTGGTGCAAGCTTTCATGAACTTGTTTGCCAGATAATCTCAAAGATTGAGCACACATTATTTTATATACTATATCCATAATTTGTATCTGCTGATTATCTAACTAAATAAAGAGGGATCTGTGATTATCTAATTAAATAATGAGGTATCTATTCCTTCAAAATTCTGCCACAATGAACTCTGCAAGTTTGGTGGGATCTCTGCCAAATTTTACAGTCTATAACAGCCAACTTCCATTGTTCATGGTAAAAAATTACAAGTTCCAATATTATACTTTACACTGATCAAAAATTAAATGACCCCCACCACACACACACAGACACACAAAAAGATTTCATTGGCAGCAGCAAGCACAAAGTTTTTATTTTATTTTTTTTTTAATGACATAAATTGTTTAGTTGTTCCAATGATTTGCAGTTGTCCTAGAATTGGTGAAGCTTTTGTTTTGCAAAGATTTCCAAAATACATTTCACAAACCTTAGTAAATATAAGATGTCTGATTCATATTAGTTATGTCATTCTAAATGTAAGTGCAGTTAATATTTCATTAATCAGTATATAATATAAAGTAATACAAAATTCAAAGAAAACTCGTAAACTGTGACATTTTATTAAAAATGGGCTTATACAGCATTCATGTAAAAGACCATCATAATATTAATAAATTTCTAACAAATGTAACATGAAATTTTACTATTTTAATACACTACATCCTTTTTCTCTTTAGTCTAAAAACTGAAATTTGTCATCAAAAAAGCACTTTAAACTATTTGAATTTTATACAGTAAAAACACTTTAAATTCAACATTTCATATTTATTTAAGTATGTTACTTCTCACATAAAAATGTAAAATGCCATTTATGGGTGAATGAAAAAGATAAACCGTACTACTAAAGATTTTATATAAAGATAGGATGAATGTTTTATTTTTTTATACCACAAATTGAGAAGAAATTATATTTCTGTCATATAACATTTTACAATTAAATCTTAAATGAAATGTTTAGTTAAATAAAGTGACTATTTAAAATGCTGTTATTTAATAGAAAAAAAGGTGCCAGGTGAAAAGTAAATAACAGGTAAAAATATTATTTTTCACTGACATCAATAAGAATTAAACAATTAACTATATTTAAAAGAGACTTCATAAATTAACTAAGGTAAAACACACAACAGTTATCTGCTTAAGGAAGGGATACCTACATCGAGAGCTTTCTAGGAAAATTGTAAGGCTTATATAGTTCTACACATGCCAGAAAATAATGAAATAGCCATGCAGTCAACAACAAATAGTCTTTTATATTTAACCATTTGACTGCTAACAGCTACATTCAAAAAGAAACTCAGAAATTACCATTAAATGCAAAACTTGAGCTTCAACATAAGCACTGCTTTTCTGTATGTCAAAAAGTGCTATGCTTTTAATTTTTCTCATTTATATGTTATTTCTTGAACACGCACAAGCACAAAATTTGAAATCCAGTAGTCCAATATATGAATCTTCAGACCAACAGCACTTATTTTTCTTTAAAAAAATTGTGAATGGAGAAAAGAAAAAGAAAAATGTGGGTATGATCTGTCATTTTTCCCCCCCTCCCAAATTCCAATTAAGTTTCCTGTACATCACTTTCAGACAGATGGATCAGATTTCCTATGGGCCATCAGAAGAAAATAGTCTATCAAAACCTAGTTACTACAGAAAGTGACTTAAATTGCTCGTCTTCATGCTGCATGTACTTTAGCGGACACCATGCAGCTGCAACATGTGCAGCCAGCCAATTCACAGCACATGCATGCATGCCGTAATATACATGGTGGCTATTTTGAACATCTTCCTATGGAAATACTAATACTCATGGTGTTGATAAAGTTTTTTTCCCCTCTTGCACCAGATAAGACATAATACTTTTCTTTTGAATTTATCTCAAAAACTACGGATACAGTTACAGATACAGATACAGTTATTTGGGCACTTTTTATGCTTATAAGAAAACAATTCACACACACACACACACACACACAAAAAAAAAAAAAAAAAAAAAAAAAAAAAAAAAATTGAAAAAATTCTTTTGCAAGTTTAATAAATTTGGAAATATTAATTAAAACATAAATTAAAAAATTGACAAATATTTTAAAATCAACAAACTGGCATGTCAGAGGGCAGTTCGCACCCAAAACAAAGTATCACAACAGTAGATTCTTTTTGGGGGAAAAGGAGTCTAAGAACTCATCATAAGGATCTGCTACTCATGTGTTTCAGTTCTTATATTCTCCAACAGATGGTGCTGAACTGTTCACATTACAAAACGGTCTCCTTAAGACAATGTGCACAACTAAGAACATTAACCTCTTGGGTACACTTGATGATTGCATTTCATCATGCACTTGTTTTACCTACTAGTACCAGTTACAATATTTTAATAATCGGATGACAACTTCTAATTCATCATTCAAACTAGGGCAAAATTAAACATGTACGTTCTTGTTCATAGCAAGAATGATTAGTAACAGTTAAAAGTGGATATTTCTTCGAGTGCTTCAATGAACTTTGTAATAGACTGCAACAAAATGTCAAAAATAATACATTTTATGAAAGTGATAAGGTTTTAATGAAAAAGCAAGACTATGAGAAGTACAATGATGAAGACTATAGTGAATTACAAGATAAAAATAAGACACACCAGACACTTACCGAGCAGTTATAGTGAATGTTCTAGTGAAGAATTGTCAGGGAAAGTATTTGGAAGAAAAAAAGAAAATCTCGCTAATGTAAAATGATTTTGTGCATTATCTGGAATCAATTCTATGTGTCTGCATAGATTAGGCGAGAAGATGTTTTAAAAGAAGTCTTGGATGAAGACTTTTGTGATATTACAGAAGAACAGACACATAGACATGCCAGACAAGTAATTGAAAAAGAAGGTTTTGTAAAAAAAGAAACCAAAGTTGGGTCCAATGACCTCTAATGAACTAAAGGTATATATTGCATTACATTTGCTGAGGTCTCAAATGAAGAAACCAAAGCTACAAATGTATTAGTCAAAGAAACACATTATAAGTACCCCTGATTTTGCAAACACTACACCACGTGACAGATTTTTTGATATTTCAAGTTTCTTATACTTTACAGGTAATGAAACAAATCAAAATGATAAAATATGGAAGATTAGAAATATTGTGGATTATCTCAATAACAATTTCTGTTGTCTTCATACTCCACATAGAGAAGTATCTTTGATGAATCACTAACAAAATTTAAAGTTTGACTGAATTATGTTCAATTTATTGCAACCAAAAGAGCTCATTCTGGCATACAGTTTTATAAACTTTGTCAATCTTCATTAGGTTAATGTATTTGTTTCAAGATTAGTAATTTGTTGCGATTCATTGAATATATTTATTTTCATTTTGTTTCTTTCATGCATTTAAACTTGACTTACAATTCTAATTACTAAATACATTACATTGCTCAAATAAATGAATTCTCACTCAAAATCTACTGCCTTTACACACTATTCTGCACGTCAGCAAATTAATCTGTTTCAAATGCAAGAATATTTTTGAATAAATCTGTACACAAGGGGTTAACGAAGACTGCTTGCTGTTAAATGCTCACATAAACAAAAGAATAAATGCAATATAATCTTAATTTTTCTCATTCTTATAGTGTTTCTATGAGTGATTTTCCTAGTCAAAAAAAAGGCTCAGTAAAGTATGTATAATTTGAAGAAATCTAAGAATTGAATGTCCATCTTGTACATATGCAAGTGTGTGTGTATGCATATATGTACATGTGTGTGCCAATATATATATATATATATTAGTCAAAAAAAGGCTCAGTAAAGTATGTATAATTTGAAGAAATCTAAGAATTGAATGTCCATCTTGTACATATGCAAGTGTGTGTGTATGCATATATGTATATGTGTGTGCCAATATATACAGCCCAGATATACACACATATATATTCTATAGTATACACAGTATCCACAAACTATTTACTCTCCTTTTATATCCTTAACCATTAGTCACAAACATATAGAACCAGTTACAATATTTTAAAATGTTATGTTTAAAATAGTCATGTTTTGACATTTGAAAATTTTAAAATATTAAGTTCCACAAAAAATTATAAAATCTTAGCATTTATCAATTGGTTGGTTAATCTTAGAATAACTTGAGGTTGATTTTTTTTTCCTCTTTAAATGCCATTCACTGGTATTCTTTTGTGATTTACTACTGTCTAATTTTCTTGAATTTTTAATTTTGCTTCAACTGACATGCTAAAAGAATTTTCACACAATTAATTTAAAAATTTCAAAATGCTAAGAATATGTTACAAATATTCTCATGAGATTTAATAATAAGTCATAATCTACTAACAATACAAAAATTCATTTAAATAGAAATGTTTCTAATTTAGCAAATGATGTTATGAGCTGGTTAAGTGCTAGTATTGAAGCTTTCCAGTATTTTGTCAATCATGAAATCCATAAGATTCTACGAATAAGACCTTTTCAGAAGAAGTTACATTCACTGGTACTTTTCATGGCAATACGCATATAATTTCTTGCATTTAATCTATTTAAATCAGAAATCTTTTTTTAAACTGATATTTTATTTTTAGTTATGTACAAATGCAAATATTTTGTTCTTGAATTTGCATACAGCCCCAGAATATGATAATCTGATTTTGAAATGAAGTAACTTGGGCAGTTTTATTGCATGGGTGTCACACTTTTTGTATTTAGTTTTTTGCAGTGAGCATGAAGTTTTCTAAGCATATGCATAGAGACTGGGAAAATAATAAAAGTTGCATTTAATAATTTTTTTCAATTTCATTATTTTAAGCTTTAAAAATGGTAAAATATGAGTATGTGCATCCTTCAAAATATTTTTTAAACAGGAAATGCATGTCTACAACCAACAGTTGCAAAAATAAAAGGTGAGTAAGGAATTTTTTTAACACAATGTACAGAGTATTATATTACATATAAAAATGCGAGAGAAAAGAATGAGGAAAATTACACCATTTAATATTTTGTTTTGCATAAATTATGAGTATCATCAAGAATACACTTAAATAAAAACTCTAACCAGTGGTTTTTCTGTCCCAATACACAGCATAAAATTCATATTTCATTCTTATACTGGATTGTGATCCATTACTGTTTAAACTAAATACTGATTAAAGTATAAAATAAAATTTTTACCCTTAAAGAGTTCAGAAAGCATACCTTAGCAATTTTTATAAGTGTTCTTGTATGATTTATGCGCATCTCTTCATAGTTATTTCCAAGATTTTCTGAGCTACCATCAAGATTTTTTCCATTGCTGTTGATAGGCCTCTTTTTATACTTTTCCAAGATCTGTGCACGAAGTTGGCTTAAATGAAGAACTTTTTCCTTCTTAAGCTGATTATTTTGTTGAACATCACGAGAGCACAGCACATGCAGATGATTTACGATTGTAAGAGGATGAAGTTGAGCCAATGTTGGTGTAAGAATATCAATAAAACTGAAAGAATTTCAAAGTTTAAATATAAATACTGCTGTCCTTTAGCACTGTAATAAAAAGTAAATTGAAAAAAAAAAAAAATTACCTTCTCAGACTTTCAACCAGTAATGGGGAAATCATGAAGTGCATATCTCCACTTAATTTTATTACTAAAACGATTTTTGATGCATTTTTTGTGCTATAATCACTGGTCCCATAATCATCTACATTAATAGAATAAAAGAAAAACATAAGAAAGCAACTTTTAACAACAATCAAAATTTCAAGCTCAATGCGTATGAAAAACAATTTTTTTTTCTTTTGGTTCATCTTGAATATGTTTACATATATCGCAGAGAATGGCTCGCAGAGATGAGTGGTACAGCTCCCAAACAAATAAAACATGGTAAATTAAAACCACTTAGTGTCCAAAAGAAAGTAATTTATTTCATTTATTTTTACAATGTCATTAGTAAACCTAGTTTGATTAATGTTTAAACATGATTATTTTATTTCATTTCTTGTTAGTTAAGAAACTTAATGACGTTATTCAAAAACAATAAATAAATAAAAATATTATACTGATTCTATAACACAATTCTGTAAAGAAAATCTTTAAAATTTAGATATGTTTGCAGATGCTTTATGAATGATATCAATCTTAGCAGTTAGCTGGCAAAAATTTAACTGATGACTTGTTACAGCAGTTCACACAAGCTAAATTAAATGCTGAAACAGACCAATAGTTAGGACATACTGATGCTTATTTTTAATAAATTTAAGCGTTGAATACAAAGGCTTACAACAATATGAAGTACCAAAAACTGAGATTAGTTTCAATGCACACTCCTTGATTTTAGGATGCTTTTGTTCTCACACTGTGTCAAAAACTCAGTAGTTGAATCACCATTTTGTTTATCTGTTTCAAGTCTTCATCTTCCTAAAGCTTCAGCTCTGCAGCCACAATATTCCCAACAATTGGTGGTGAGACGGGATAGCCATTCTTAAAAATGTCAACAAGAAAATGTTTTCTAAAAAGATAAATGATGGCTTCAGTACTCTTAAATCACTAAATTTATCAGTAATATGTTCTGCCAGTCTGTGCAGCTTGCATATATAATCTGAAGTTATAATTTTCTACCCAGGTAAAGTTTCCAACATTTGAGTAAGACACAGGAAATGAGTGAACATTTTAAAAACCATATCTTTTTCAAAAACTTTAATTTTGCTATGGAAGCTGAAAGCACTCTATGTTAAATCAGAAATAAGTTTACCATGTCCTTGCAGCAATAAATTTAATGATCGTAAGTGCTTCACTCATCTATGAAAAGCACCATATCTATTAACCAGTTGGCATCTCCAAGATTTATATGTTTCAGTGATAAATTCTTTGATTGGTTCTAGCAAATTAAAGAATTTTGTTAACACATTACTTAATGAGAGCTACCTTACTGCACAAAACCATGACACAGCCTCTGGAAGCTCATCATTTTCTATTTCTTATATGAAAGCTTTGAACTGTCAATGAGTTTTGGCACTTGAGTCTATGTAGTTCACAGTTTTTAAAAGTACTATTATAATATGTTCATATTTAAAATATTTAGTTACTAGATATTCTCTCTGAACAATGAAATAGACAGGGATAAAATTGAGATACAATGCATCGGTATTTAAAATTACCAAAAGCCCTTTACTAGAACCTCTCATAGCTGAAGTGCTGTCAGTTGCAATGCTGATTAACTTTTTAATCAGTACAGAATTCTTTTCAAGTACAGCATCAAGGGCTTTTTTATATCCATAACTTGAGTCACATCCTTTACTGTGATGAGGTCCAATAAGTCTTCTTTTGCTTCTAGATTATTTGTTACATAACAAATAAATGCAGCTAGTTGTCATTCATGTTCAGTGTCTGCAGATTTGTCTATGGCCAGAGTCAGTACTGAGCAGTTTGTAAATTCTTTTGCAAGTTACTTAAGAAATCATCAGAAATAATGGAGTACAGCATGTCTGCATGCAGGTATTTGTTCAATTAATTTCAGCAGTATTTTATTTTCTGGAATTATAGCAGAAGGACATTTTGCCTGAGCAACATTGAGGGCCATAATAAATACAGTCTGCTCTGTTACATCTGCCTCTTTAATAAACCAATGACATAATTTTGGTCTAGTTATTTACTTTTTCTTTTAAAGATTTTACAGTATTTTAGTTATCTTAATTCACAAAAAGCATAAAACTATTGGCTGAAAAAACAGTGATTTGATTCATAATGTCATTTAAGATTACCAGGCCTTGAACCTGACAGTGTTACTAGACATAAAAGACACATTGGTTTCCCGTTTTACTTCACAAAAACAAAAATCTCCTTTCTTCTCTGCTTTCCTCCTGTTCCCCTCTTCAGATCTGCATTTTCCAGATAGCATGATAACTTATTTTAGATTGGAATGTTTAAAAAACCTTTTATACAAGTTGACTCACGAAATTAAAAAAAAATACTATTAAATCACACAAATCTACACCATCTGCTGTGGACAAACTGGTGTGAACTGCAAAAATTCACAGTTCTGATTACTGTGACAAGAAATGTGAGGAGAAAGAAGTTTAAGACATAATGGCAGATGTTTTTTACGCCTGCAGAAAAAACATTGTAACTGCTGGCCAGGAACATCCCTGATAACAGATGTAAAAAGTTGTGAAAGGATGAAGGGCTGCATTCTGTTCATAAAAGCCAAGACATGAGAGGAAATGAATGCATCTCTCCACTGAAGAATTCCATGAAGCACATGAGCGAATCCATCATGTCCAGTCATGTAAGTCAAAAAATCAATGCTTAACATGAGAAGCTTAACATGAAACCAGGCATACCAGCCTGGTTTGTGATGCCAAAAACGTCCCACATCAGAGTTACAAGAAACTGATGGATGATAAACATACGTAAATTGTTACAATTCCTATTAATGGGGTCTACAGACAATTTGAGTGCTCTTAGAGAGAGTTTAAGGCAGTATTTAACAACAATGGTAAAGAATCCACTTCCAGAATATGCATATTATTCGACCTTGGATCACAGAAAAGTCACATCAAACGAAGCGTTTCTGAAAGAATGTATTTGCTAATTATCAGCAAGGATTTTGCGACAGTTTATCCATTATGTCAGGAGAAATCACAAAAAGAATAAAGCTTCAGTTGATGTTTTGATTCACCCATTAAATACAAGAATAAAAATACAATAGAAGCTTCAGAAACAGAAAATTTAATGTCACTTCATAACCAACACCCAATTAAAAAAAATTGCACATTTATGTAGGAAAAAGAGGTTACTATTAAGACATACTTTATTTTAGTTAATAGAGATGAAGAATTTTCATTACTTCTTGGGTCAGACATGTTTTGGAAAATTGTTACGGTAAGAACCTGCCAAATTTCTGAATTAGTAGTTGTGGAAAAAAAAGAACAGACAGAAGAGAAAATGCATGTAATGCATCAGAAACATTTAATATCATAGAGAATTTAATATAAGTTAAAAATAATTCAGAATTTGATTTGACATCCAAACTGATGAGAAATTTATGACAACTGGACGCTTTGGGAATTTTGAAATTGGTTAAATCTCTTTCTGTGATCTTTAGATTACACTTGCTATGATTAAACGCAATCCAAAGCACACAACAGATAGCGGATGTTCAGACCTTTTTTTTTTTTTTTTTTTTTTTTTTTTTTTTTTTTTTTTTTTTAACACGAAAACAATACAACACAGTAAGCACTTTGATGTAACAACACAGTGACTAAATGCAAGTTACATTTTTAAACAATGAAAGAGGCATCTGAATAATTATCCTTTAAGATAATTACAAACTTGATTATTCAATTACAATCTTGGAAGCACTAACAGCATACTATGAATGAAATTTCTGAATGCCTATAGGTGTAAATAGCAACAGTAGTTTTAGTCAGTGAAGCACACAGCCTTCAGGTGCTGCCAGTAGGCATATTTAAATCATTTTACACAATCATTTTACAGAAAAATCTGTTTCTTATCCAGCTGTTGGTTTGAACTTTATTATTTTATACAAATCTGAAAAACATTTCAAAAATAAACATTTTAAAATTTTAACAAAACATATTATTAAAAGAGAAGAAATTACTTATTTCCACTATCATATTCTATTTCATTCAGATACATCAGTTCAAAAATATTGACTCTCTGTTAATGGACACTCACTTCACTCTAACTGAAACCCTAAATTAATGGATATTTCCTATATCTCTAGACTCTCAATGCAAGAGACCAATTTATTCCCATTTAACTGACATTCTTATTTTGGACAAAAGAAGGCTTGGTCTCATGAGTGTCCACTAACAATAGATTCAACTACACTTCATATACGTCTTCACCAACCTTTTTTCATTTCCTGATGAAAAGAACCTGGCTGGAATTCTTCTTCAGAATGTGCTGACGTGGATTTCTGAGTATGTCCAAATTTCTGGTGATAACTAGAAACTTTGTTTTTATCCACCATGTGTATAGAAGTAAACCCTTCTGTCAGAGGTATGAATTTTGGCTTCCATGCTGAATGCACCCGATGAAAAATAAAATCTTTACTTGTTCCATTATGATTATCATCTGTCTGATGAACTAGGTGAGGCAAAGGTGGATGTTGAAACCAATGATGACATTGCAGTTGAGTCATATGAGCCATATAACATGACATTAACAGAGGGGACTCAATAATGGGCTTGTCCATCTGATTATGCAAATCAACTAGAGCAATATCTTCCTGAGAAGACATTGCAGAAAGAAAAGATGTACTTGATATGGAATTAGAATCAGAAGGGTCATGGTGATTTCCACATGAGGGAGTCCTTTGTAAAACAGTCACATGTAGATCACTGTCACTCGATTGCTGAGATGGAGTTTCTTGAATATCATGAAGAGATCTTTGAGCTGCTGAAACTTTCCTGTCAACAGAATTATTTCCATTTTTAATGACAATATGACGCTTTTCCTCATCTGCATGAGTGTCATCAGAAGTAGTAGTATCTGTTGTGTCCACAGAAGATATAGCATCTTCATCAGCTGAGAAAAAGCTTTCTGTAGAATGTGTAGATTCAGTTGATGCTGCTCTACGAACAGATCGAGGTGAGTAACTGCGAGCAGCAATGCTTGCAAGAGAATGCCGAGATCCACTATTTTCACCTCTACCATTGGGACATGTATTTAAAGAAAAACGAGAACTGTACCTATTTTGGGATAAGCCTGGACTCACACTTCCTTCTCTAACCAATGGTATATGATTAACACTGTTTTCAAAAGTGTTTCTCCACTCTTCATTCTTCACTGGTATTTTCCGTTCATGTTTTCCTGATACAGGAGCAGACTGGGCCATGGATATCTGATAAGAAGACACTATAGATGAACTAGATGGCATGGACATATGGGTTGGACTACTGAATTGTCTTTTGATGCCACGCATTTGACTATACCTGTGTTCTCTAGTAAGTGAGGCAAAATTTGAGTCACAACTTTGGGCATTTTCAGCAATATTTTCACTGATAATTTTATTTTGGTTGAAAAATACTTTATCATCTAGAAAGCTTTCAGAAAACGCACTCTGTCCTCTGGAAATAAATTGTGATTCTGTTTCTGAAGACTTTGATGTTGCCATATCATGACTTTTGCTTCCACTGTTAAAAGTAGAATTCTCAGTAGCGATGAAAGATTTTTCAGAATGACTAGGACTATAGATTGTACCATGAACATGTGGATTTTCAGGAATATCAAACACAAAATGTCCTCTGTGCAACATACTTTCTCCATATCCCAGATTGCTATCTGAACTAATATGATATTTTGCTGAGACAAGTCCAACATCATCGAGATGATTATTAACAGAAAAAAAATATGGACCATTTCGATTGCTTCCAAAAAATGCACAGCCACCAACACACCCACATTTCCCATAAACTATATGAGGAACAGATTCAACATCTGGCCATAGAAACCACAATTTTTTCCTCTTTGCATCATGCACTTTTAAAAAAATTTCTTGCTGAATACATTCATCCTTTTTTATTTGCGATGTAGCTGAATCTATATGTATTGGCCCAAGACTAAATCCCCCAACTTCTAACCAGATTTCAGATGCAGAACTCTGTTGGGATGCTTGCCCATGACTAACTATACTGTAAGCTGAAGAGCAAACTAAGTTTGAACTTATTCTTGCATACTGTTTAAACTGTACATGATGAAGAAGCATGCTCAAGCCAGAAACTGTATCCCCTCCATGCAGATTACATGTTGCAAGACGGACAGGATAAGCCTATAAAGAAAAAGATTAAGACAAGTTATTAGAAATGCATTACTTTTGGAAAAAAATCAATATTAAGCAATATCTAAAATAAATACCTCAATTTCAATAGCGGTTCCACTTTCAACAACACATATATCCAAAGCATCCACAGAAAGTCTAGTCATTCTGTACTTAATATCATCTGGACTAGGACATGGCAAACAAGAAGTTGTTTGCGAGCAGAGAGACTGGGGTATATCATGTTGGCATAACTTAAATGCATGAGGAGGCTGAAGGTCACAATCAGCTTGCTGAACTTGAAATACAAACAATTCAAAGCCTGTTACTGTATGATAAATCTGAAAAGAAAAAATAACAGTTAGTGCCTCTCAACAAATAAAGAATAATTTTTAAACAACAAATAAACACATGAAAAAAGTGTTAATATATTTTGGAAAACATAAATATTATTTACTAACCAATGTGGTAAAAGTTAATTGATCATGTTGAAAATAATAGTTTTCTTCTATCTAAACTTATTCCAATAATATATGAATATTTAAAACGAAATAATATTCCTATTAATTTAGCATCGTTAAATTTAATTTAGCATGTTTTAATTAATCGATTAATTTAGCATGTTTGAATGTTTAGTATATATAACTTTTGTTTAAAACTGACAAAACATACACTTTGAACATTATGAATAACTAAACTTCTCTAAAAAATTAACAGGAAGAAAAGTACTAGCTAAAAACAGGATGCTGACATAATTTCTTCTTTTTCAAGCTCTTATAATTCGCATTTGTGTTTTTATCATTAGCACTAAAAGATTCCTTAATGCTTTCCTCCCACTTGATTTATACACATATAATTGTAATGATGATTTATTTCTAAATTTCTTGGCCATTACATAATGGTACAATTTATCAAATTGTTTGCTGAGTGCTGCTTTTTTTTTACAACCAAGATTGCACTACACCACACAAAACACAAAAGTGACAGCTCACATTTTCATAAAATGTAAATAAAGAGTTAATTGTTGCCACCAAATATTATTTTTAAAGAATAATTGCTGCCACCTTGTATTATTTTTAAAGAAATTAAATAATGAAGAATCTGCATTAATGTTTTTGTTTTGTTTTTTTTTCAGTGTGAAAAAAATACAGTACCTAGAGCCATCAAATTTTGAATAATGTAGTCCTATACCCGAACATATGCCAGAATTCTGAATTCGTTTTATTATCCATTTCATACTTTGTAAAACTGAAGTGAATTTTTAATAAATTTGAAGATTTAAAAGCGAGCAGTGGCAATACTGTATGGAATAAAACATTTTTATCTGTAGCGCACAATGTCTATAAAAAATTCTAAAGCTATGCTGTTTTTAAATATCTGGTGATTTTGCTATTGAATTGAATTTAATGTGGCCTAAGTGCAAAAATTATTATATTTAATAAATAAAGTTAATGCCCAAAATGGTTATAATGTGGTGCCAACAATGAATGGCAGATGGCGTTGAGCTGAATTTGGTAGAATTCTCTCTGATGTTTTCATTTGGCAGTTAGCCTTAAGATGTGTTACGACGGCGATCGTATTACGCTAAAGAATTGAATTGAGTTTATTGTATCAGATAATTATACAAATGTGTACATGTTTTAACATAATTAAACGTGCTGTCTGATATAAAGAAGCTTTGTAGATTTACACTACCTTTAACATACTCCTACATTTTTCTTCAGAAGTGGGATTACAGACTAACATGGTGATTTGAATCACAAAAAGAATAACTTCAAAGCAAGAAGATGGAGATATATTTTCCTATTTGAAAATGCTTTTAAGTGAAAGTTAAAAATCTACGTTGCATAGAAGAATTGTAAAGCATATAAGATTAGAACTTTACACAGATTTATTTTTGATTCTGATGGTAATAGGTCAAATCGATAGAGAATTAGGAATTTTTCCATTTTGACTTTGTTTCAGATAACAGTAAATACAGGCAAAATCTCCATTTTTTACAAGCTTTTACATTAACACATTAATATATGACAATATATATATATATGAAATATGAATACTTTAACCTTTTCCAAAGTACAGCAGGAAATTACTTTTTATGACAGTACTTTCTACATACTTTTTCTATGTACTTGCTTTTATTTAATTTTATTTTCAAGAACCCAAAATCTACTTGTAAATGTGAGAAGGTAACAAAATATTTAGCATTTTGCACACTTCAACTGATGCAAGAGTTACTGATACATTCACTTTCTCTCCCTCCTTCCAGTATGCCTTTGTGGAGTAATGTTTAGCACACTGGGCACGTATTTGAGAGGTCCAGGTTGAAGTACCGGCAGGGGCACTGCTCATTTTTCATGTTCCATACATCAAAAATCCTAATGCTTCTACAGTGGTGCCTGAACTAAAAAGTGGTGGTCAATAATTCGTCACCACACTATACGATGAAAATTATTTGCTTTGGAAAGCTCTATTACCCAAATTAAAGAACTTTAACGATAGGTGGCCTAATCACCAGTCACCCTTTAAAAGGGGGAGTATATAAGGTAGTTTCTCCCTCCTTTCCAGCATGCCTTCAAGGTGTAATGGTTGGCACACTCAGCATGATTAGTTTAATGTTAAACAGATGCTGCATGATGAGCATATGCACAGGCTTAACAAAACTTATGGTCACAACTGTAAGGGGTGGCAGAGTTTCCCAAAGCAAAACACCTTTCACCCTACAGTGTGGGGTTGGAAACAAATGGCGAGCTGCAAAAGGGTGCCTGCTTGGTGAAAATGGCAAACACAATGAAGATGAGCAATTAAAAGAAAAATATATGAATGTATGAAATCAAAAATAATCTTTGTAATCAAAAATTTTACAACGAATGCTCAAATGAGCGACCACCAGCTGCAATACATGCATCACATCGGTGACAGAGAGAATTACACACACCATGGAAGATTTCTGGCATTTCATGAACATTTGAGCAACAAGACCCTCTGGTGACTAAAGGAGTGTCCTGTAAGTGATGCTTCTTAGCTCTCCTCAGAAGAAAAAATCCAGGCAGGACAGGTCGGGATATCTGGGAGGTGAAGTAATAAGCCTGATGCAGAAAATCCATCTGTTTGGAAAGGCAATATGCTGATTATTTTGCACAATTCTGAAGAAGTATGCTTTTGCTTCATCCCATTGGAACCACATAAATGATTGAACATATGCTGGTACATTCTATAGTACATCAGCAGCACCTGCTGAAGTATGAAGTAGTTCTGCCCACTTGCCAGTCTGGTAAAAGATACAAATCTATTAAGTGATCGTCGATAATCCTGCCCACATATTCATAAAGAACCTAAGCTGGCAGGAATGTGTAGCCCAAATGATTATTGTGCATATTACATAGGCCATAACATGTAAAAGTAACCTTGTCCAATAAACAGGACAGATGCAGCAAACTGTGGATGTAGTATGGTCTGTTGCAGGAACTAACATGCAAATTTTATATGTTGAAAATCAGTTTCATTCAAGGTCTGAACCTGCAGGAGATGGTAAAGGGGTGCTTCACAAAACACATGCCATACTATCATATGGTTGACACCTTGGTCACCAACTACTGCTTGCATGCTTTGTTCAGGTTAGTTGCTCACTGCCTCAAGGATTGTCTCTATTTGATTTATCTCTCTTGTGCTCTTTGGTCGACCTGTGGCATCTACTTGGCCATGGAACAGACTGTCTCTAAGAGTTACCTGTGGAAAAATTGAAATGTTCTATGATCAAGCAGTGCCCTGTTTGGAAATCACTCCTGGCAGTCTTAATGCTTCTGCAGCAATAATCTTTGCAGCCCTGTATATAAGGTGCATATCAGCCACCTCCACATTCAAATATTGCTACATCTCTGGCAAAGAACACCAGCTGAGTGATGAGTTCTGTGAAAGACAACATTTCATCCATTCGACATAAAGCACCCTCTCACTGCTCGCCATTTGTTTTCCGACACCACACTGTATGGTGAACATTGTTTGCTCTAGTAGTCCTTTCAGTTATGACCATTAGTTTTGTTACACCTTATATAAAGGATATAAGTTTCATTATAAGCATCAATCATAAAGCACAACAAACACCTCAAAATTTTGTATTACTTTGCCAATCACTTCTGGAGATTTTTGCTCATGTGAAATCATAAGATTTATAAATCTGCAAAAAACTTACATATACAGGAATATTGCAAAAGAAAATTTATCTTAATTTTTTACACATATTCCTTACAATTAAGGATTTTAGTGCACTGGTTTCATAATAATGCAATATTAAACTAAATATATGATATTTAATGTACAAAAACAGTATCAGAAATAAAACCAAATGTTAAGATTTATAACATAAAATAATACAAACCTGTGGAACGGTAAGCCTGCCCGTAATATCCCCAACTAATATTTCAACAAGCCAAGCATATTCAAGTGTTTCACTATCTAAAGGTCTGTCAACACTAGAAAACATAGCATGGCCTCTGACCTTCATACACAAGAACAGAAAAACAAGACGTCACAAATATGTGTTTAACTTCATCAACTTGTAATTTAAAATTTTTTATTCATCAAAAGTGGTAGTAATAATAACAATAAGAATAAGTAATAACTGATTTGCATTCTTAATAATAACAATATGTAATACAAGCTCTGCACTCTTAATAAATTTATTAAAATTGTATATTTACTTACCTTATTAATATTTAATAAATTAAAAAACACTCAAGCACTTAGTTTCTATTCTATTTATAGGTGAGTTTAAAAAAGCTACTACAAATTTAAGTGCAATTAATAAAAAGGAAACACATGCAGTAATTATGAAATTACAGAAAACTTCAAAAAACTGTACATGCATAATTTTTTTCTCTGCATAGGAATGAGCTGTAATTTTGTTAATGTTTAATTGTTGCAATAGAAGCTGAATTTCATTACTTCATTAATAATTTTGGGGTCAATCTTTTTTTATGAATTAGTAAAGATTTGAACGCATTTTTCTGCTCTTAAACGTACCACAGTGGATATATGTGAACTGAACAGACACAGCAACATAACCACAAAAAAAAATTTCATATAATGCATTTTAAAGTGTAATTCCTCAATTTAAAATCCAGTTTTAATGAAAGTACAAAATGGACTTTTATCCTAATTCAATTCATGAAATAATTGATTCATCCACCAGTTAATGACATTTTAGATAACTATTTAAACACTATTAATGATATAACTTTCCTTTTAACATCTTAAATAGTGAAATAATTTATTTGCAATCTTCTATCACAGAGCATTAACACAATGTGAAGATACCAGCAATATCATAGACCAAACTAAACAATTTATGATAATGTCTTTATCAACTTAGAAACATAGTTTTACCCTACAAATAAAGCATTCTAAATATTTTAAATGTGACAAAACTATTTAAAATTTTGATGCAAACAGTCTTGCTTTTTTCTCACACATTTTTCTGAGATCTTGAGAGTTTACCTTTTATTATCTCAATAGTCTGTGATGCACGGAAATTTAAAGATAATTGGGGGGCACTAAATGAAAAGGACATTTCAAGATAGTTTAATAACTTTCTAAACACATATGCAGCCTTCATTTTCGCTGCCTTTATTCATAAACATATACTTCCAATCACAAGAATGCTTTAAATAAGAAAATATTCAAGTTATGGTGAACAATTTAATACTAAGTTAACTCTAAATTTATGAAATTTAATATAGATGAAACTACAGTTTGACATGAATGAGCAATTGCTAAATTATCTATTATACAAAACAGATAAAGCAGGAATTATGTTTATTTAGTCAAATATTGTTTGTTGGTCAAACATTCAAGAGCTAACTGTAAAGCAGAGTAAACAGTACTGATAATTTAGACAAAAATAAAAAAAATTCACCATTGCTTATTTAAACAACGAGAAAAAATTCTAAGTGCTTCAAATTACACAAAAGTAAATCTTATATTGGTTGCATAAAGGAATCCCACCTTTCAAAGTACATTTCAAGAAGTACACTGCTCTTTTTAAAGTATAATTGATCTAAACTGCAATTTTGCTAATTTTAAATTGTAAACCGAAATGCTTATCTTTACAAACATATTTTATGTTGAGCTATATTTATATATTTAAAGGATAACAGCATTAGAACTGAATCAGAAAACTTAAAAACATACTTGGATAGAAGAGACAACAACATGACCATCTTTTAAATGACTATGACTTTCTGATCTCTCTACTGTGTCCACAGAACTTAAAATCAAGGGTGACAGCAGTAACTGAAGCACAGTTTCTTCATATGTCTTGTGTATTTCGAAAGCTAACCGCTCCAAATACAAACTAGGACATGGAGGATCACTTTCATTGCAACACTAAAGTTTCAAGAAAACAATTATAAATGTAAGATGAAAACAGTTGTATTATATATAATATGAAAGCATATTGGCATAATGTAAACACAGAAAAATATGCTAAAATTAAAAAAAAAATCATATGTTAATGGCCAAACATGCAAGGAAACTTAATACAATATGTAGCATGACACACTGCATGATACACAAGTGCAACATACCATGGCACAGCAGTGATAAATTTTCCGACTGTGTCCTCAGTGACTGTAAACCATGAACTCATTTCGGTAACCTCAAAAACCATAAATTTAGCCCGGCAGGTCCACTTTCTTTTATCTCACTACCTGTCATGTCATCAACTTGAAACAATAATTATTGTAGCACACTTGTCTGAATATACTCTCTTTTAAAAATCTTTAAAAAAAAATTTTAGAATCTTAATTTTGTTTCCTTTTAAGAAACTTTCACACTGGGTTGATTAAAACACGGCATAGAATTAACTGATATAAATTCTCAATGGTACTCACTTAAGTTAACTCAACTACCATCTTTACTGTGGCCAACCAGCAGCCAACCAGTAAAGTCACTGAACACTGAAGCAGCACTCGCACTGAACCACAAGAGAAAGCTTTAAGGACCTGAGATCAGGTGGATTCGCACAAGTCAAATTTCATTAATTTAATAAATTTAATTTATTGGGAAAATTTGTTGGCAAAAATTTTCCTCAGTAAACAACAAAACAATTAAAAAACTGAAACGAGGAGATTCTGTGATCTACTGAGAGACTGGAAGATGTGAAAAAATATTATGACAGTTCACAGCTATGTGATACTTACTGCTCATAAACATCAGATTACTGTGGACTTCTGGATCAACAGATTTAGTGCGCCCCTATTTCAAAAAGGCGCTAAACCACAAACATGCGCACATTATCCAGGATATGATTCTAACCCCGTCAGTTAGATAACCAGCTTTTTTTAGCCACTATACTTATTGCAACTGTAATAAAATTGAATCGCCAAGAAGCCTAAAGAATACATACAAAAAAAAATTGTGAAGCATTCCCATGTGCCTCTAGAAGTTATAATTCATTTATTTTTTAACTACTAAAATATTATGATATTATACATCAGGTGCTTTGATTACATAAAATAACTTAAAAGTACGAAATATCAGTTAGTTTTATAATAACCAAAATAATTACAGTTAGCATTACTAAAAATTAGATAAAGCCTACTTTAACCTAGAAAATTATCTGTCATTTTGATGAAGTAATAGATCCAGAGCTATTATAAAAGAACTCATAACTAAAATGTTCACATAATAAAAAAAGTGAAGGCTTTATCACTTAACATGAAAATTTCATTTCAGAAATTTAACACCAGCTGTTAAATGCTTTTCTCTAAGAATGGTGTACTTATGGCTTATGTTTCTGGTTAAAAAACGTGTTTAAAACTAATTTTAGCATATTTAATTCAGTATTCAGAATTATATTTCAAATTTAGAATAAATTAGTTCACATGACAAACATAAAAAAAGTTTGGCACTAAATTGAAAATGGCAGGAATCCATTTTTTGTACCTACAGACATTGGGAGGGGGGGAGAATACATAACTGCTTCAATTACAACAATTTAAGAACTAATGTTGCCTCTATACCACTCAACAAAGAAATGGTACATGAACTGCAGTTAAGAGTAAGGGTAATTATTTAACTATGAAAAGCCTCAATATAATTGGTGATAATAACTAATTTTTTGATAATGTTTATGGAGTTACAAAATGAAACAAAAAGAGTGCATTATCTTTTCAGAGTATTAAGACAAATGCGATGACCCCTGCACAATCAGCTGATTTCTGCGAGACTGCAAAATGAATGCCTGTAAATACTGAAAACTTCATTCAGCCTTAGGTGAAAAAAAGCAACAAATGGAGAAGTATTCATGAATATATGGTCAGAGTTTACAGTTACATTGCACCTTCCCATGATACAGTAAAAAATTTGGAGAGTCTAAAAACATATACAAAGACTGCCCGTAATTATCAGCTAACTGCAAGGCTTTTTAGTCAGGAATATGTCTGAATATTGAAAACATTCAGCATCATTTGACTGTTAAGTTCTTGAAAAAAGAAAGCATAAAACAGGCAGTCACTTATAAATATGTGCATTATAATCCATACTGATAACTGTGATCTTCTGTGCTACAGTCACATGGAGAGTCATCATAGTTAGTTCATGCAAAAAAAAGCAAAGTGAATCAATCTACACAAAACTACAGTATGGATGTGACTATCAAAGAAATGTGTATGAATGCCAAAGAATATAAGATGGAAAATCACAAGGTGACAGTTTTCCTGCCATCAACTGTGAAGTGTTGCAGTGTCTGCAATGTGCCTGCAACTGCAAATGCGCACTGGTGTTGGTTGTTTGTTTAGTAGAAGAAAAACACATTTTGCACGTCATAATGATACTTTGATTTGCATCAGTCTTTTTCTTCCTAAGAATAAGATCTGTGTTTGGTTTCATTTAAGTTCGATCAAACGCACTGTTGAACACCTAAAATTTAAATAAAAGCTGGATAATGACATTTTTTTTTTTTCTAAATGTATTGCTGGGTATCAAACTGCAAAACATCAAGATGACGAGATGAAGCCTTATTGTTTGGTTTTATATTAATGTTTAGTAGTTTAGTTTTCTGCTAATGTTTAGTTTTACCTCAGATGAGAAATCTTTTAAGAAAATTTAATCCCAAATTTCATGTGAATACTTTTCTAAAAAGACATCACTCATTTTTAGAACCTCCTAGAAAACCAACTGACATGAAAGAAGAAAAATAATGTGTGGTAGCCTCTGACATAAATTGAGCTAAATACTTAAATTTACATATTACTTCATGAAATTTTTGTAACATCTATTTTTTTCTGATTTTTTATTTTCAAATAATTTTTTTTAAAAATATTTTGTTTCAGGTACAATTATTTATATTTGTTGTTTTTGTAAAAAGCAAAACATTAAATTAGAATCTTATATTTTATTTTTAAATAATAAAGTATGAACCTTCTGTTCAAATTTTCATAGTTCATCAATCTCACAGTTTTGCCCCACAGACACCATGAAGACCACCTGGTCGTGAAGTGGATAGCACATTGTGCAGCTGTACCACAGGTCTGGGGGTTTGGTCTCCGGATTAGGCAAGGTTGCCTTTCGTCCCTTGAGTGGGTTGATCAAATGAGTATCAAGTTTGCTTGGGGACTACACACTGGGGGGTCCTACAACTAGCTGACCACTTGCCCAAGGCATATGTTGATGCCATCTGGGGTCCAAGGTCAAGAAAGCAGATTTTGGGACACTGTAGGCCATGGCCCACTAGGGCTGTTGCACCACTAATTTTAAATGTTTAATAATAGTTGATGAGAAGTGGATTCACTCTTCATCTGGCAACAACACAAGAGAATATGGTGTGAACATATGTTTTTCACTAACCCCACAATTTCATTTTGTTTTAATAAATTCAAATTGACAAGAAGTCTGCTCGGTAGATTTTGGTCCCCATTTACAGGGATAAACAAAGGTCATTTTTCATTGATTATCTGCTATGTAATACGATAATATGTGTATTATGCCAACTTATAAACCCAACTATGAAGGTAAATAATGGGAAAATTTCAAAGCAAATTCAGCAGAAAAGTGTTTCTTTTGTTATGACAATGCATCTGCACATAAAGCTGCAATCTCCGATATTCCTATTCAGCAATTAGGATTTCAGCTCTTTTTCCCATCCAGTCCATTCCGCAAGCAGGCTCAATATGACCACCCCCACCCTCTTCATAAACTGAAGTAGCTTTTGAGGTTCACATTAACAAAGATGATGAAGATGTGAAAGCTACCATTCAGAAATTGAAGTAGCTTTTGAGGTTCACATTAACAGTGATGATGAAGATGTGAAAGCTACCATTGAAAAATAGATTCTGAGCTAAAATAAAAGATATTTGAGAAAACTATGCAAGTTGTTGCATTCAACCTCCTACTAGCATTGTTAAGACTTAAAAACTTATTGAACAACCTTTGATGAAGAATGAATGAGGATTATGCTTGATATGTATTTTAAAGAAAAATTTCACTAAAATTACACAATATATATTTAAATACTACTTAAAGGTATTAACTAAAATACATATCACAGTCATATCTTATAACCTATTGATTTACAGTGGGGGAAAAAATTCCTTTAAACGTGAAAGTTTAAAGTAGCTTAATCATTTTGTTGGTTAAAGATGTCAAATTTCTTCCATTGCGGTCTAACTATTCATTTACTAAAGCAATGTTTCCTAAACATTTTTAATTGTGGAACACTTTATAATTTCCAAAATTTCTAAGGAACACAAGAAGGAATTTGGGATTTCAGCTATAAAAAATAACAACACAGGTATATTAGATAAATAAAATGACTTTCACATCATGCCTTAAAGAAATGTTTTCCAATATTTAATTTTACCAATATTACACATAAAATTAATTAAATGAAAAAAGAATGTAAAAAATTTTAAAAATTCAGTTTTCACTGACTTCCATGAGTCTGAGTATTCAAAGATTTTTTTAATGTCAGGCATAATGTTAAAAATCTGAATTCTTATTTCAGATGCAACATCAAGTCGGTTTCTATATGTGAACTTTGTTGCAGCGCAATACGAAAAACAAATGCACCAATACACTGTCATAATAAGACTGGTTTAGTTTACTTGAGTACGGTACACCAACTCGAAGGCTATCTGCCTAAAGAAAGAGCTACCTTCGTGGAGGAATTCCTAAGGGAAACTGGCTTATATCCATGCTACAAATGGGGAAAATCCTGAAAGACGCCCATGCAGCCAGCTCATTCACATGGAATTGAAACTACATCAAACAACTGGCAGTCAGCAACTTTACAGCTTGGCTGCTGATGGGCCTGTCATGGATGGTTAGGTTAGGTTAGGTTATTTAATTACGGCAAAGCAACGAGGGCTATCTGCCTAAGGGGAGGGATGCCTTCGTGGAGGACTTTCTAAGGAAAACTGGCTCGTATACATGTTACGCATGGGGAAAACCATGAAAACACCCATGCAGCCAGCCCGTTTGTGGGATTCGAACCTCGGACCGAACTACCAGTGTTCAGCGACTTTACCACTCGGCTGCTGGTGGGCCCAGGGCCTGTCATGGAAGGAAGTAATTCATGAGTAACTTGTTTTAATAAGTTCAAATTGACTTCTAATAAACTTATCCAAAATATGTTTAGCAGTAATTCTTTAACATTTTGCCAGAATCAGTTCTTAAATCAATATTAACCTCAGTTTCAGAATTTTTCTCAGAACACTTAGTGACTGTTTACGGAACACCAATGTTCCACAGAGCACAGTTTGAAAAACATTATGCCAGAGTAACCATTTCGTAAATACACTGATGATATAATATTTATCACTTAAGTTATTCTAAACAAAGCTACAAAAAAACAGACAAATTATTCAGATTACCACACATACTTGACAAACTAAGACAATATTGAAACTGCTCTTGTTAAGTGGAATCACAAAACAAAGTTAAAACTTGGTTTGCTGGGAATATACCATAATAATATGCTGTACAATATAAAGGCAAGTCTCTCCCCAGTACACACTAACAAATATAAACAGGAATTTGCTTTTCTTGATTATTTTGTATTCTATTCTAAACCACTGGTAAAGAGAAATTTGAGATTACAAAATCAAACAGTCAAACTAGCCAAATGTGCTAAATCTAATCTCACAGTAAATTCCAGTTATGTAGTTAGCTATACATATTTACTATGCCTAATAGCTAGTTGCCTATATCAGTAATTTTGCTTAACTTTATGAAATGAGTGCTTGTGTATTTTGAGTGATGCTGATTATGGCCAAAAATGACTTGAATAGAAGGGATGCTGTTTATAAATTTCTAAGATAAATGAAAAAAACTGTCTCAAAATTCATACAGAACAAGAAAAAGACCATAACAACCACCTACTAAATGAACTCAGCTTGAACTATCCCTGCTGAGCAATTTTATTCTCTTCGTCAGTGGCAAGCTTCAAAAACAGAAAAGAAAGAATACTTCTTTTCTAATCTAATTAGCAGCTTTGAATTATAAACTTTGTTCTAGCTACTATTACAGCAATTATAGCAAAATAAATCACTACAGTGCTGTAATTCTAAATCTGCTAAAAGGAATTTTTTAAAAAATAATTTATGTCAATTATTAACGTAGATGAAATGGAAAGAATTATTTAATTCTTAAATTACACTGCAAAATTAGGATTACTTTAAAAACAGTGAAACTAATATCACACTATATCACCTATGCAAATTTAAACAAGATTTTTTTTTTTTTTTTACTACAAGATATGTTATATCTAGCACAGAATTCTGTACACTTTTTATACCATTCTTCATTAAATAATTTATAAAAACAGTTCTATTTTCAAACACAAAAACGTTAAATAAATAATAAATGAATAAAAATGGATAGGAATGAAATTCCAAAACAGAAAATATTAACCTTCATAATATGGCCTTGAATATCATGCATAGTTACAGACACAGTGACTTCAAAAGGACGATAAACTCGAGGATCAAATTCTTTGGTATCACTGTCTTTATTACACGGTAACTGTACTTGATTAGGTGTGATAATAGGAGAATCAAATTCAAAAAACTTTTGAGTCTCGCCAAAATAGTTTTCCTGCAATATTAGCAAAAATCATATTTAAAATAAGTAGCAGAAATATGGCAGAAGTGAGGCAAAATACAACTAATCTTCATACTTTCATGCTTATTTAATCACATATTGCAATTACAAAATAGCATCAAAAACTGTAAAATTAAGCATAATTTTCTCACAGAAATTATTAAAAATTACAATGTAAAAAAAAAGGAAAAGGAAAATAATACTAGCAAGATTATAAAACATATAATGACAATCAATGCTTCTGCATCATTACTTCTAAGTTTGCTTCCTTACAATGTTCTACAAGATATATATATATATATGTCATAATAAAAGCACAGGAAATACCGGAGCAGTGTCGATGCGTGCTTAGATCCATATTGAAGAAGAAGTAATCTGATTGCGTCGTAAGCTAATGTGTTGACTTCGTAAATAAAACTTGGCAGTAGAAGCGATTTTAATTCCATTTTTATTTCCAATTGATATTTGTGGCCACAATCACTTGGCACTCTAGTCGTGCCTTTCCACAGAAGATTTACATTTTTGATATTGTTGAGAAGGGAAGCAAGCCAGCGAAATTACATCTTAGCAGAGTAGAGGGCAAAAGCTGAAGTGCGTAGTTATGAAAGATGGAAGCACGTGAAGAGAAAAGTTTTGGTTTACAATTCGGTGATTGGTCGTCAAGAGGCATCTGGTATTAACGGTTACGTAAGATCGCATGATTAATTCGAATGACGCAATGCAGATAAGTTTTTACGATTTTAGAATAGAGAGGAAAAATTAATGTTTATAGTTATATTATAATTCTGATTCATACATTTTTATCTTACATATTCCCCCCTTCAAAAAGAAAAAGGCGTAGCGACAGAGAAGCCTTTTTAAAGAGAAAGAGTTAAAGCACTAGCAAATTTAAAAAAAAAATATAAATAAATAATAAAATTTTGATCCTGTAAAGTATTATTTATAAATATCAATTTTTTTTAAATAGATTCTTAATTTTTTAGAGTCCTATTGAATTTTTCAGCATTTCAGTCCAAAAGTCTTTTTGTTTGAGAGTTCACATAATCATAATTCTTCAGGGAAGGTTCTTGTTATCGCAGAATATCACAAAATAAACTTTTACATAATCATTACTTATAATTAAATGTAATGCACATAAATATTTATGATACTTATTTCCATACTGATAAATTGCAATTTAACTTCAGAATTTATGGTTTCACGTTATCATCTTTCATTTACAATTCCTTTATTTTACCATACTGGAAGGCCTCGCAATACTTCTAAACAAACATATCCATCAATAAGGCTGTTCTCTTGAGCTAACCAGTGTGTTCTAGGCACTGGTGGCCCAGGGTGCCTAAACAGTTACTTGAAAAGGCTTCCGTTCCTTACATTAAGGTAACTGGCCTTTGAGAACTGCACTAATACATTCCATAATAAAAAAATATAATAATATAAAAAATTTACATGCATTCATAAAATGAGACCCTCCAACATTATCTTCCATGAAGAGGGTAAAAGGAAAAACTGGTACAGAGGTAATTACAGGCCTCTGTTGAAGGAACCAGTACACCCTCATCATACTATGCTTAACACACAACCCACAAATTTTAACATGCATTTACCATAATTTCATATTACTTATCTGTACTAATTTCACTTATTTTTAACATCTTTATTTTTAGAATAATTATAAAATTCGTATTCAAAATTCTCAACAAAATTTCAAAAACATAAAAACTTATCTTAATATTCTTCCCTATGAATAATTTAAATAGCTTAAAATTCGTTACTTAATTTGCTCACACATAATTATGAAAAATTAGAAAAATTAATGAACAAAAATTTCAGATTTTCTCAAAACAAATTGCAGAAATTTTAAGAAATTTTAACCAAAGTTGAAATGAAAACTATAGAATTCGCAGCACATTAAATAATTTAGTTCCTGAGCTAGATTCACACGAATGGAATAATTTTTGAGCTGTTGAAGAACCGGAAGTGCAAATAATTTTCTGTCGCACATACTTGCAAACACTAACTCAGATCGACCTTGAACCCGCTGTAATGATGATTTCCTTTTCACTAGGCATTCGAACTTCTCAATTTATCGAGAGATTACTTTCAATCTGTAAACACTACACGAGATTATTTTTTTGAAGCACTTGCAAAACACCACAGCAGAAGAATGATCTGTTATTTTTTAAACACTGAAAAAACAAATTTGATGATTCACTTCTTTCACATTATCTTGGATTTATCACAAAACGATGATTTGAAGAGCTGAACTAAATTTTCCATTGAGGTTTCAGGCTGCAGGAAACTATCCTGTCGACTTAATTGTCATAATAAAAGCACAGGAAATACCGGAGCAACGTCGATGCGTGCTTAGATCCATATTGAAGAAGAAGTAATCTGATTGCGTCGTAAGCTAATGTGTTGACTTCGTAAATAAAACTTGGCAGTAGAAGCGATTTTAATTCCATTTTTATTTCCAATTGATATTTGTGGCCACAATCACTTGGCACTCTAGTCGTGCCTTTCCACAGAAGATTTACATTTTTGATATTGTTGAGAAGGGAAGCAAGCCAGCGAAATTACATCTTAGCAGAGTAGAGGGCAAAAGCTGAAGTGCGTAGTTATGAAAGATGGAAGCACGTGAAGAGAAAAGTTTTGGTTTACAATTCGGTGATTGGTCGTCAAGAGGCATCTGGTATTAACGGTTACGTAAGATTGCATGATTAATTCGAATGACGCAATGCAGATAAGTTTTTACAATTTTAGAATAGAGAGGAAAAATTAATGTTTATAGTTATATTATAATTCTGATTCATACATTTTTATCTTACATATATATAATTGAAACGGAAATTGTAAAGCTAACAAGTAATGAGACATAATACATATTTGGTCTTAAAAATTTTTTGTGCATAATGCTGCAAAAAGATATGAAATAATAGTAGGTAGAAACATTGCAGCGATCTTGCTAAAAAGTTACCAGGAGCTTACATCTATTATCAATCGACCAGCTTGCAAACTAATATATATATATTCAATTCATCAATTGACCAGCTTGCAATATATGTGTGTGTGTGTGTGTGTGTGTGTGTATGTGAGTGTGTGTATAAACACACACACAGAAAGGGAAAGGGAGAAAGTATAAACATTGAGATATAAAAAAAAATATTTCCATTTTTGTACTGCCTGTATAATTAAACCTCTTACACAGATACATGTAAGTCTATTAAAGAAAGCAACATGGCATTTTAAATGCACAAATTGACTTGTTTTTGACCCAAACACTGATTAGCTTTGCTTCAGATGAAAAAATGAGATACATACCATTCTAGAATATTTATCTCTAATCAGGCATTATTTTAAGTTGGGCTTCAAATCTATGGAAGCTGCTGACAGAATTTGTGGCAAGAAACAGTATTAGACTACATATCTCAGAAATGGTTCAAATGCTTTAAAGATGTTGATGTGGCTGTTCAAATTAAGGTCAGAAAAGCCAGACCAGCAGTTATTGATTAAAGTGCTTTGAAAGATGTAATTCAACTACTACTGCCAAAGATTTACAGACATCTGCATCTTAGGATATCATAGGCAATCCGGAATTTGATAAAATGAACAGATATTCTACACAGGTTTCCCATCATCTCACATAAAACAAGCAAACTAATAAATAGAAATCTGCAATCCTACAGATCTGCCGGCTTTCAGACATGTAGTGGTGTGATGAAAACTGAATTTATGTACAAATTCAGACAATAAATATCAAAGGAAAATTGCAAATATCAGTAGAACCCATTACAATACATGGATGAATTGAAGAAAATTTATAATCAATGCTTGGAGGATCTTCGAGGAAGTAATCCACTTCAGTGCCAGATATTTGACACAACTCTGACTTTTACTGTCAACAGGTGGGAAAATATATGCTTCCTTGCATGAAAAATATCTTGATTTGACCAACAAAAGAGTTATTTAGCAATAAGACAAAGCTTGTGCTCATTGCTCTAGAAAAACTATCCAAGAGTTTTGAAGGTCTTGAAGGATAAATTCTATCTCAAGAGACATACAGTCTGGATTTTGCTGCTTTTAACAATTGTATACTGCAGTCTATGGTATCATTTTTTAATGGGTAACACTTTATTTCTGTTGATAATCTGGACACAGGATGCTATGAATTTTTCGTATCAAAACCCAGATTAGGATCGTCAAACAATTGAGCAGCTGGAAAGAGGATGAAAGAAAATCACTAAACATTGTGACTTATGTTCTGACTTTTAAAATATTCCCTTTTTAGTATGCATAAATTTTTAGCATCATAAAGATGTGATCTTAAAACGGAAATGCATTTAAAAAACCAGAGTAATTTCTCCATGAAATACTCACATTGTAAGATAATTACATAATTTCTTTAATATGTTATTTTAATTAAGAACATTAAAAAATTCATAAGACTTTTTTTGGGCTCTATTTTTAAATTTAATGAAATATTGTTCAGTATGCTAGTCTTTTAATAAGAATTCTGATATTTAATGGTTTTATTTTATTACTTTGTAGACATTAGTCAAATCTGCAGAAGAAAAATTTTAATGTCATAATAACAAAGCATACTTTAACTATTGAACAGCCTTCTGACTACGTCCTGTATTTTTCTACACCGATTCTAAGTTACTATATACCAAATAGTATAAGGTCTCTTTCCTGCCTTCTTAGTGTGCCTTCGTGGTATAGTGGTCTGCATGCAGGGCACGTATTACAGAGGTCTGTGAATCGATTTCCGCGAGGCAGAGGCGTTGCTCATTTTTCATGTCTCCTGCTTCCAACAAATACCTAAAGTCTCTACAGTGGCGTCTGAACTAAAAAAATGGTGGATGATGATTCTCCACACCCAGGATTTAGCAGTTGGGTCCCCCCTGAAACCCCAGTCATCCTTTAAAAGGGGGATTATATAAGGTATTTCTCCCACCTTCTTAGCGAGCCTTCATCGCGTAGTGGTCTGCATGCTCGGCGTGTATTTTAGAGACACGTGGTTCAATTCCCGGCAAAGGCGTTGCTCATTTTTCACATCTCCTGCTTCTAACAAATACCTAATGTCACTACACCCGTTCCAATAAACTGCACAACTCTGAACAAAAGTTTGTGCAAACTGAATTTTGCAAATTCTAGGTCATGTCTTTCCCAGTTCTCTTTAAATTTCCCCCTTTTAACTTTCACATTAAATGTGGACTATTTGCACATAACTAAAACACACTCATAAGAATTATTTAATCGAGATTTTCTGAATATAAAACTACATTTTTTTAATGTAACTGCATACAAAGAAAATGTCAACAAATGTTGTGGACAGATATGAAATTTTTTTTAGGAAGCAAACAAGCATAGAGGAATTTCATTAATAAAACACTATATGACCATGAACGAAATTACTTTCAAAGTAGTTTCAATGCTCTAAAATGGGAGAAAGAGCAAATAAATATGATGCTTATGAAACTCCTGAAAGCAACGATTTCCATAAATTTAATTTCTAAGCAAAATCTGCCATCCTGTTTCCATACATACCCAACTGGATTAATAATGCTACAGTTGAAATTTTGGATTTATTAAAAGGAAATTTTTCTGTTCTTTAGCTTTCTTAGCTTCACCTCATTTGTAACATCACAAAAAATTTTATAAATGCTAATTTCAAGGATCTATCTTTTTTTGCCACAGAGGCTTGCATGGAATATAAAGAAACTAGCTATGAGGTGCACTGAAATTTAAACGCAGTGTCTGAAAAACTGTAGACAAATAAATTTGTAACAAGACAGATAATTTTATATTTAGCCATATTAATTCAAACTTAATATTAAGAAACTGCAGATTATGCACCAAAATGTAGAGTTGATTTAAAGCAAAAAAATCTGCTAATATTCATGATCTGTATTTATTATAAAAAGCAAGTGCTGATGTGGGCACAGAAATTGCTAAATAGCTTTAGTGATGAAAGATATTTAGAAACGTTTCTTCATTATTCACTTCTTCAATAAAACCCTGCAATAAATACAGTATATTTCTGTTAAAAAGTTAATTTTCATTTACATATAATAAAAACTGCTGAATTTTTACCATGCTGAATTTTCTGAAAATCTCAATTTACTTTGTTTACATTAAAAATTGAAAGCATATTACATGCATTTTTAAATTATTGGAACTACTCTATACTGATATTATTATTTTGTGTAGCATTAATTCCTTACGCTTGATGAGCATAAAAAATTTACAAAACCCTGAGACAATCATATACATCAGTGCTCTGCAACCTTTTCTCACCTGCGACGCACAAAAAATCTTTCTGGAATTTCGTGGCACACCAAAGAGTTCCGAGTTATCAAGGAAGTGCCGAAAAAATTCAAATGCTGACACACTTACAATCACACACACAACAGTGAAATATATAAAAACATTTAAAATAGACATTATTAAGGAAAAAAATTGTCATTGTGTATTAAATACATGATAAAAAATTGTCATTGTGTATTAAATACATGTATTTGATTGCGGCACACCTATATCCTACTCATGGCACAATAGTGTGCGGAGCACTGATATACATGGATATGTTTTCAAAGCACAGTACAAAAATACATGCTAATAACAGATCTTTAAATAAGTCCCGGGACTAACTAAAAAAACAGCATCCATTTTAAAAAATTCACGTTTATTCATCAACATAATCACCATGAAGAGCTATGCAATCATCCCAACGCTTTTCTAATTTTTCGATAACATGCTTGTTAAACGTTTGTCGTTGTCCGCAAAATAAGCTTCAATGGCAGCGTTGACTTCCTTATTTAAGCCAAATCTTTTCGAGATCAGCATACAGCCAGTAGTCACTGGGGACTGGATCTGGGGAGCATAGTGGGTGGGAAAGCAGAGTGAAGCCCAACTCGTTTAATGTAACCAGTGTTTGCATTGACTTGTGGCACGGGGCATTGTCGACTGAAGATGACTTTTTTCTTCATGTGCGGTCATTTTCTTGCAATTTCATCCTTCAGACGCATCAATAACTCACTGTAATAGGCACTATCGATAGATTTTTCCCTTTTCAAGGTAGTCAATGTAAATTATTCCTCACGCATCCCAAAACACAGATGCCATGACTTTGCCAGCTGACTGCTGCGTTTTTGGACGCTTCGGATGGCTTTCACCAGCTGCATGCAACTCAGCTGACTGCTGCTTTGACTCCAGAGTGAAATAGTGGATCCATGTTTCATCCATTGTCACATATCGGCACAAGAAATCCTGTTTATTGCGAGTAAACAGTGACAAACAGCTCTGTGAATCATCAACTTGTTGTTGCTTTTGTTCCATTGTGAGCACATGCGGCACTCATTTGGGAACGCTTTTTTCATGCTCAATTTTTCATGTTAAATCATACATGCACTTCCAGTTGATATGCTTACCATCTGAGCAATCTCACAAACTTTCATTTTGCAGTCATTCATCACGATTTTCAACACTTGTTTCACATTTTCCGGAGCTACCGCTTCATTTTGACCTACCCGTGAGTGCCGCATCATTTGTATCCATGTGACTGTGCTTGAAATCAGCATACCAAGGGCAAATGGTTGTTTTCGATGGAGCAGTGTCTGGATAACATTTTTCAAGCCATTGCTGAGCTTGCACAGTCTTTTTTGCCCATTAAATAGCAATGTTTGATCAACACTTGAAATTCATTTTTCTCCATTTTGTCCACCAAATGAACAAGTAATGTCACTTTCACCACAGTAGCTTTGCTGTTTCCGGTCCAAATGCCATGAAAATTAGACACGTGTCATTTGAAGGTTAGTTCTTTCGAACAATGAAGTCAAGTATATATTACTAACACCATCTTTTGGTTAGTCCTGGGACTTATTGAACGATGTGTTAATACATATTTTAGTTATTTCAACAAAAGACAGGCATGGAGGAGCTACCATATTTTTTTAACTAAATAACGAAGGATATAGTTACATTTTTACAAATGTTAAATGCAAAATAAGAATTTTTTGTATGACATTAAGCAAGAAGTTTCTTTTATTATCACGTATAAAGTATACACAATAACTGAATAAAAAACAGGCATTTCTAACCTTTAAATGAATCAAATTTCGAAGAAGACAGCCGTATAGTTTTAAAACAGAAGGTCCAATTTCTAATTCCAGATGAACAGTATCAGCAGTTAGAGTTAAAGGGTCAAATTCTGGATTTCTACAATATAAATTTTTTTTTTGATTTTGAGAACCATTAGGCCTTATAGGTGACAAAAGAATTTCTTCTTTTTCTGGTGTAGTGATATCTAAATCTAAACCTGAAGGACCACATGGAGGAGCAGGATGATACACATAAGCAATACTCAAAGCAACAATAGGAACAGACCAGCAGTCTACCCATCCAGCACTGTAATAAACAAACAATATATGTGGATGTAAATGATTTTGTAACTCTTGTCAACTAATAAAGTAAACATAGTCTAGTAAACAGAACATAGTCTGAAAAATTTCCGATACATTTTTTCTACACACACACAAAAAGGATATTAAGGTGCAAAATAGTGCAATGCTCCCATTATTTCTGCAGTTTATAAATGATTAAACAAACTTTAGAGTATTCAGCCTTGGATGATAGATTAATAATTTCTAAAACATGCATCATGAAAAATATCTTACCACAGGCAAGCATATAAATATTTATTTTTATGCAGTTCCAAATATTTATAGTAACTGCAATAATTACAAATTATAATAATTTATGAAGAATTTTCATAAACAACCACTCATACAAATATTATTTTATTCTAGTCGGTAAGAACAATGGAACAAGTTTTTCAAATTTTAATAAACCATAAAAAAGAAACAAATAATTTTAAAAAAGAATTATGCTGTATTTCTTTTCTAAATTTTATCCAGTCAGTGCAGTACCATTCCTGTTGTATTGATTATATGTTTTGTTCACTAAAGTGTATTGGTGCTGTATGTGCATTATATTTAATACACATCTTACAGAATGATGATAAATGTAAAAACCAGTTCATTGGAAAGTGTCCACTGTCGCATCACAGGCTGTGTTACACTTACGCATGGCATGACAAAAACACTTGTTTTGGCATATTCTATCACCAACTAAAGTTATAAGACTACATAAATACTAGAAATTTCAAAATTTGGACTATAAATTATTAAAATACAAAATAGGCCCACCAGTGGCCAAGTGGTAAAAGCCGCTGAACACTGGTAGTTCGGTCCAGGGTTCGAGTGCTGGCAAACGGGCTGGCTGCATAGGCGTTTTCATGGTTTTCTTCATGTATAATGTGGATATGAGCCAGTTTCACTTAAAAAGACCTCCACGGGGCATCCCTCCCTTTCCGTATAATGCCCAAGTGAGCTCGTAATAAGCAAAAAAAAAAAAAAAATTATTAAACTAGTGCAGTATACTGTGAATTTAATTAACTAAACAAGATGTAATACAGGAAGAACATGCATCAAACTGGAACAAAAACAACTGAATAAAATGAGAAATAGTTGAAAATTCTTTGTTCTTTTGCAAGGAACAGCCAAAAAAATTTTAAACAGAGCTACGTTTCTGAAATACATCTGGATGATTATAAATTCATGAAATAAATCAAAAGTGGCAAATAAAAAATTTTTATAATACTAACAGCTGCTGGCCATTTGAATCATTACACAATGACAATCACACATCAAACCTGAAATTTGCATAAAAAGTAGAACATGCTGGGATATGCAAATGTTTAGTATTCCACAGCATGTGTACATTATATGAAAGAGTAAATAATACTACAAAGTAATTTAAAAAGGCAGACTAAAATGCCAGTTTTTCATCCATACATTATGTTTACTTGTTATTTTGAAGGTTGGGGGTCATGTAATGTCTCATAAGACAAGAAGCAATTCATACTAACATGTCTCAGAATTCAGTTGCAAGGGGACTCAGTATTGTGAATTACTGTGTATCCCAACTGCTAATCATTTTGGTCTAATGATTTTTGCGAGACTTTGCAGTTAATAACTCCAGGAGAATCACAGAGATTGACCTGCAGAATCTCATTGGTCTTCTCTCACTATTGCCCAAAATGACAGATATCTTGCCCACATGACTGTTAGAAATTTTTTATAGGAAACTGGGTATATCGCTTAACATCAAGTATGGCTCAATGGTATCTGAAGTACTGTAGATTGTTTCTAAAGTGAGCATTACTTCAGCTTTCTTTCACACTAATAAAAAATTTATTAATGTTTAAAATTTATTAAAAATTTTTGAAGTTTTTTTCAATTAATCATCAAGATATAATCTGCTCAATGTGACCCAAAACAAAAAATGCTGCATAAAAATTAAACAGCGTAAAATAATTTTTGAAATTTGAGGAGAATGGTAGGCCATAATTGTAAAATATGAAATATTACAATAGGCAAAAAGCTTAAAATAGGAAAAAGAATTTATTTAAAAATAAATTGCAATGAGAATTTGTTGGCGCATTTTATGCCAAAGAATCTCGCCTATCCTATGACTGAGGCAGGTAAAGTTCGAAAACAAATCTAACCGACTTGACGTGGGCAATAATTATAATGCGAAGCTCACAATTGAATTGTATTTTTCTTCACTGTAGGTAATGTATATGATGTTTTTCTTAATAATATAATTAAAAAATGAAGCAGTGCAGCAGGCCTGTCGATAAAAATAATCTTTAAGAGAATTCAATTTATTCACCTAGTTCCGTTGCGCCTGGAGCTTACTTCAGTGATATGGATATACTAATGAAAAACAAAGCATCCGTAATGGGGAAAAGAACTAAATTAGAAACTTTCGTGCAAACTGCCAAAAATGATGTGGATTTAATTGAATTTAAAGTGAAACTTAAAAACATTCAAGCTCTACAAAAGAAAGTTGATGAGCTACGAAGTGCATACTATGCACAAAGCGACATTAAGGATGATGATCTCGCAAAAACTGACGAGGACTTAAACCAGTCTGATGATCGTCTGGAAAAATTGGAGGTAAGAATTTAAATGAAGATTGCACTTTTAATGAACCAGATGAATTCTTAATTGTAAATAAGATAACAGGACTAACTCCGTGCACTACGTTAGATATTTCGAAAGTAGAAATTCCACAATTTTTTAATTTAGCTGATAAATCATTTTATGAAGCTTCAAAGGTACATGCTCTTATAAATGCTGATTTATTTTTTAAGGTTTTGAAAAATAATACGTACAAAATAAATGATGATTTATTGTTCAAAGAGTCTGAATTTGGATCGATTGCATGCGGGAAGCTTAACAAAATACAACCTTCTTATCAAGGACATTGTTTTCTTGTATAAAATGGTCCTCTTCAAGGACTTTAAAACTTTCCTTTAATTTAGAGGGACTTTGTATTCATGATAATCCAGTATTGCATGAAAAAAATCACGCCAATGGAAATTTATTAATGACACTGTTAAATTTAAAAACAGACATTTTGTAGTACAACTACCTTTTAGGAAACATTACGATGAATTATCTGATAATTATTCCTTCGCACGGCAGTGTTTTCAGAATTTGTGGAGGAGATTTAGTCATATTTACTCATGATGCTGGGTTACATCAACAGTACCATGAAATTATTTGTTATTATTTAAAAGAAGGCATAATTAGCATCGTAAATCCTGATACACCAGAAAATGCTTTAAATAGACCACCTATACAGTACAATGTCCGAGATCCGGATGTCCAATATCCGGATTGATCTAAAATTCAGACCTCAAAGCCACCACCAACCATTTTTAAATGTTTTTTTTTTTTTTTTTTTGTATGCCTTACGCATTTGATTCACCCAGTCATGCGGAGAGTCCGGATTCTTAACCTCACTTCGGCACTAAATAAAATACATCATTATTGAAGAAATAATTGTTTTAGCATAAATTTGTGAGATCAATAATTTGACTCCATATCTGCATATCTGCTTGGTATACATCTCAAACCAAAACATTTTACATAGAAACATTTTTGATTTTACATCAACTAATATTTTAACCCTTGACGTCAACCTGGCGAATCATTATCATGTATTTTTTTTTTTTTTTTCATTATTGCATCTTTATCAACTCATTATACTTTGAGTAATGACTCATGCAGCAATGCCAAAAAAATTTTTTTTATCAGTAATTGAATAATGAAGAGTATGGTAATCTTTTATGCTGATATTACGCTTGGCGCCGATGACAAATATAAGTTAAATGCACGAAGAGTGTCGAGGAATGATTTAACAAAAAGTTCTTTTCATATGCTAAAAATAGATATTGTTTATGATACTCATAGGCCAAAAGATTACATTTAGTTAACTTATTTGTTATTACTCATTTGTTATTCACATAAAGCCAGGGCTCGCATGACCACAACAGGCAGCAGTTTTTAGGGAAGAAGAGTAGTTAACGTAAGTTTTTTACTGCGATGACAATGCCCTAATCATCAATTAAAAAAAGAAAGGCGAAATCTGTAGTATGGTTCTAGATCCATAAAATACCACTACCGATAGTGAAGAAAGAGACATGGAGGTTATTGAAAACGAAAAAAGTTCGATTATAAAGTTAGTTGGAATACTCGACCCAGCAATTACAGGACTTGAACAACAGAACTTGGTAACTGAACAAGAAATTATATCTCTCTATAGAAATAAACAGAAAGTATTAGCACAAAAAACATAGCTACTGAACCGTTTCACTGCTACGTGGCGCAGAAGCGCTGCGTTCATTTGTCTCGAAAACCGCGACACAGAGCTTAAGCGCTGCGAGTTTCAGTGTGTCTTGTGGTCCGTGGGTGTGAAGGTATGTAGTCTGACCTCACGTGTACTTTGTAACATCAGTGCATTCTAAAATAATTAACTGCATCGTGGTTTTCGAGACAAATGAACGCAGTGCTTTTGCGCCGCGTAGCAGTCAAACGGTTAAAAAACTTATATTAAAAGAAATGTTTAATAAAGTAAACGTATAAATATTAAGCTTTTTTTTTTCTGTAAATTTTGATACCTCTTAGATCATTAAACGCTTCATCATTTTGTATGTTTAATTTTATAATTTCTTCATGCCATCTTACTAGATTTAGACTGATGATCTAATAGCCGGAATTTCCGTAGTCAAGACGATTCCGGATCTCAGACATTGAACTGTATATTTTTTGGCCTCATCAGGCTGTGCAGAAAGAAAGTAGTTTAACGTCAAAAACTAGAATTGTCTTTGATGTGGGTAGTAATCAAAATAATGAACTTTCTTTAAATGACTGCTTGTGGCCAGGGGTTAACTTAAATCCAAATCTTTTTGACTTACTAATTAATTTCTGATTGAACAAAATTGCATTTTGTTCAGATGTTAAACAAGCTTTTCTGCAGATATGCCTCTCTGATGA